TCACACTATGAGAAAGAGGTCACTGGATATTTTCAATCACTAAAGATTATCAGACCGGATGTGTTGTTCGACTTTTTTTCATTATTAGTTAGCTTGGTAATGATTCATTATATTTGAGTATTAAGTTATATCGATATCAATTATCTGATTCATATCACAATACACTTAGATATATTCAAATTTAAATTATATCAATCATCTATCCATTATTACGAGCACTCCTAACATGTTACCCTTTAATATAGTCATTATAAATAATTCATTATTTTGAAATATTATTAAATGATTCATTTAATCATACATACTCTTTAATTATGTTTAATATCATTAGAGTATGATATATTGGCAGACAACAATAAATGAATTTAATCTTCTAGGAGAACTAATTAAACCAACAATATAATAATTATTAACGAAGAATAATTAGACGTGTTATATATAAAAGCAAGAACAAGTATCAACTCGGTGTATGGATTATTTCGTTTAGGCGATTCGTAGTGTATTGAGGTGTTGATGGAGTGAGAGAGAGAGAGTGCGAGTGGAGAAGTGAGTGTAGCCACTCGTCGAATGTTATTAATAAATTGTATTACAAATATATATCTACGGGCGAGCTAATCTATTCATGCTATCATCCACGTTCAGCATATGGTGTTATAATGCATCACTTATTTGTCCTAATTAACTCTATCGACATCACACGTAATTCTCGTCTGATTGTCATTATGTATTGAATAGCGGAGATTCTTATCATCAAATATCGAGTCCTAATTAGCCAGACATTATTGCTCTAAAAATATCATCATAATCATCATTTAAACTGGAAAAAAGGCGGCCGCGTTCTCGAGCGAGTACTACTCATGTATATGGCTGCTTAATTCCGTCTAGATTATCGGAGCTCCTGAGTTTTTTTCTCGGACATTGTGAGTTGCGATTGTCTTTGTAATTTTCTTAGCTTTTCGCCTATTTTGTCGCCTTCATTACGGTAAGTATGGCGGCTGTACCGAGGGAAATTTCTACTAAGTGATAATCTATCATCATGTATTGCGTTATTATATGCATCGAGTCGATTATTATCATTGACTGTGCGATTATCGCCCTAATGTGAGTCTCGCGATGGGTGATTTAAAAGTCATATAATAACATCTAATTATTAATGTAATTTTCATCATTATAATGAATTTAGTATAAGGAGTTAATGACACCGAATAAATGAATAGAGTCGAGATTTGAGAGAGGTATGAAGAAGAAAAGCAGATAAGATAGAGGGTATTGCTATAGAAATAACGAATGAAAGAGCGTCGTAGGAAGGACATATAGAAGTGTAGTTATAAAGAGCTTGTGTATATTGAGTGTGAAGTTTCTGTATATCATTGTTCGTGTGAGTATTAAGGTGGATCTCTAGTCAGTTGAGTCAGAGATACGGATGGAAGTGATTGAGGGGAGTTGAGAGTATATGTGCTAATTATTGCACATATTATAGCAGCCAAATCGTCAGGTGAGTGAGCTATATCGGAAGAAAGATGAGAGTTATGTATCATAGATGGTGGAGTTGTCCTAGAGTTACTCTTCGATAAAATTAGCATAATGGTATCAATTTTTTTCATTACTGATGGGGGTTAATCATGAAGATATTCAGTCGCTAATGCAAGAATTATGTCTGAAAATCATCATAATCATCATTTAACTGGTTTTACGAATCATATCTCACAAGGCTGTGATATCGCTGCGTGAAGTGTGCGACCAGGGTATTTGATCGACATTAGGATTTCTCTTACTTTTAGCCATTGTATTGACTCATTATAAGCATTGGCCTTGATATAGAGATGATTAATTATTCATCATTATTGTTGCACGCGAGTTCGATTCATTATCATTCATTAGCTGGTCATTATCGCCCTTATATTACCTATAATTATACTCAGTGTATATAAGTTCATTATCTTAGAATTATTTGAGATGTCATTTCATTCATCATAATGACTTTGAAATAAGTATGATTAGATGACAATAATGATAATTCTAGAGAATAATAATTTAACAACGATTGAATCAATGATCGATGAAATAACACAATAAAGATAGCGCACGGTAGTAAGAGTAATTATTAGCGTGTGATGGTGATATGTGCGTAGTGAGTGAGTCAATGTGCGGGTGTGAGTGTGTATGTGTGAATGACGGGTGATGTGCAAATTGAGTAAGTGGAGAGAAGGATCAATGGACAGGGTTAGAGAGTATTGATGAGGATTAAGTGTGGCGTGATTAGGCAGAATGTAGTATAGCGCGAGAATCGAGTTTTTCTACTATGTTAGGAGAGAGAGAGGAACAGACATGTGTCACGTACTATGGTACTAGACACGTGTTTTACACAACACATCGACAGGAACAGTACAGAACAGACAGTAATACAAGGGCATGACAGACATGTATACATGAGACAGACAGTATATAAGAATATACATACAACAATTGAGAGAGAGAGAGAGATTCCAGACAGACAGGAGCGTGAGAAAACACAAAAATAATGAGGATATAACTCATAATGTGAGAAGCACAAGGAAAGAATAATAGACATTATAAGAAGCTACAGATAAATATAAAGAACTATAGTACTAGCCAAACCTAGAGATATATACTATATGTAATATATACATATATATAATAGATTAAATTGTATATAGAAGTCACAATAAACACCTGAAAAGGGAACAAAGAACAAAAACAAATTTTATTAACAGAATAACAGGAATATAAATAAATCAGAAACAGGAAATATAAAAGAAAGAAAAAGGAAAAGTGATAAATAGATAATAAATAGCGTAACTAAAAAGTGAATGATAATAGAATATGAACAATATATAACCTAGTATATAACAATGAAATAATCAAACGCAACGAAAGACTAATGTAAAACAAAACACAAAAAGAAAAAACACAGCCCAAAAACAAAATATTACAACGAAAGATATACAAAAACATAAATAGACAACGCCCACTCAAATAACACCATGATCAATAAAAAACAACAAACTTAAAGCGCGAATTAACTAAGACAATAAAAACAATAACCCTCACCACCCACCACCCAAAAAATATAATGAACATATAGAGATATGAGAGATAGAAGTATGAGAAAAAAACCGCAACAAAACAAACTTAACACCTAAACAAAGTAACTCAACAGGACCCTCTTCATCCCTCACTTCCTCACTATAATGCCTACACCCCCCTACTATCACCTCACCACCTCTCCATCCTAGAGTAGACCAAAACTAACATTATGTAAGAAGGTATCTATCACCCCGTTTTTAATTCCTCGCATTTATCAAAACCCACACACGCATGGGCTTTATTTGCGCGTATCTGGCATTCTCATTACGCTGATTAAATTACTTTTCTTATGTAATGCCCTTCAGATTTAACTAATTAGAGTAGCTAATAGGAAAGCTCAACCCTTTATAACTATAATATAATATATGTATTTAGTATATAGCTGGGATTAACATGTCTGTTTTTCTTATTATTGTTGTGAGTATTGTTTAGTAAGGTATTGGTAATTTTGTTATATTTGTTGTTGTTGTGCAGATGTTCCTGTCTTTTTTTTTTTAAGGATATTTTTTATTCTATATTGGTTGTTTGAGTATTATTTATTCTATATCTTTAATGAATTATTTTTTACAATTGTTATATAGTATTTAGCGTGTTTTAGTTATTTTTTGCTTTGTGTGTGAGCTGTGATGATTGGTTTTGGTGCTCATTGTTGTGTTTTTCCTGTGATTGTATGCTCATGTTTTTTCTTATTACTTTCACTATTTTATAAATGAATACATATATCCTCATTTAACCATCTATACCCACCACACGCCATACACTCAATCATGAATACATAATATATCATTATCACTTTTAATTCATAAAAACAACTCTAACTAACCCGCCTTTCTACACTTCAATAATTTCATACCTAATCATTTATCAATATATTACATGAATTACTCATAATTAACACACACTACCTTAACACATTATCTACTAGTAATATGTAGTTTATACTTATAATCTTAATAATGTAAATAGTTACGCCTACGAAGCCTAGACATTCTTTCTCTCTCTATCTCTCTCTATCTTACATCTCTCTACTCTCTCTCTCTACTTCTTAGTACTCTCTTCATCTCTCTCCTATTACATCTCTCTCTATCTTCATCACTTCCATCTCCATCATCTCTCTCTTTCTGTCTCTGTTTCTGGCTTCTATCTTCTCACAAATAAAGCGTCAATCGCGACATCATTTGTCAGCGACGCATTAATTTCTTATATAGTCAATAACATCGAATACTATAATCATAAGTCCGTAATATTACTTACATGTTATATTCAATCTGTCATATGATACATATTTCAACTTTCTATATCTATTATATCTATATATATTATATATATCATTCTATTATCTATATACTATATCTATCTTTATATCTATTAATCATTTCTGACTATCTAATTATTACTTTCTATATGTCTATCTATTTATGCATACATGATTTCATGTCTCTCTCTCCTCACTCTTCCTCTCCCTCTCACTCTCTCTCCTCTCTCTCTCTCTCTCTCTCTCTCTCTCTATCTCTCCCTATCTATCTATCTATCTCTTCTCTCTCTCTCTATTATTATATATATATATATATATATATATATATATATATATATTATGTATGTATACATATGTAGTGTGTGTGTGTGCGTGTGTGTGTTTTGTGTGTGTGTGTGTGTGTTGTGTGTGTGTGTGCTGTGTGTGTGTGTGTGTGTGTGTGTGTGTGTGTGTGTGTGTGTTTCTCTGTAATGTGTGTGTGTGTGTGTGTGTGTGTGTATTACAAACATAATACACAATGCCGCATATCTATGCATAATACAAAATTCCCCATAACTAAATGCCACACACTCATCCACAGACCTACCCACACAACACCCAATGCCACGCCCTCATCCCCTCTCTCCCTCTCCCGCAGGCCCCTTGACCGAAATCCGAGCTGTCGCCAATGAGAGTGTTTTGCTTCCGTGCGACATGGAGCCACCAGCGCCCAACGACACCACTCTGCTCGTCCTCTTCTACAGGGATGGTGTGGGGACGCCGATCTACAGGTACAGTTGTTTGCTGTCTGTTGGGGTTTTCTTCGTTTTGGAATTGTGGGCGTTTTGTTGATGGGAAAATATTCTTAGCTCTAGAAT